TCAATATTTAATCTATCCAATACTCGTCAGTGTTTACGAACAAAACTGGATCAATATTGTAAGGATCCAGACGTGAAGGACAGGACACTCTTTAACTATACTAATATCGTCCGGTCGGTCGTCATTAAACCACACTTTCTGTATGTAATCCTTATTATCGTTGACAACACGCGAGCGATAATCCATTGCCACACAATCCGGCGGACAATACTTCATACACTGTACCGATACCTCTAACTAAACAGCAAAAACTTATAAATGCCACGCCTGCTTGATTTTAATCACACTTACCATATTTATTTTTGGAGCATTTTCTAACATTAGTATAGAAAGATAATCAGTTTGTTTATAAATAGATTCATTAGTAATCGTGCATGTATCGAAATCTAATTCGTGTAAACAGAAATCAACAGTATATATACCGCACCAATTAGTGGGCGGTTTTCTAACGTAACTCAATCGACACCTTCTCATACAATGGAAGTGAGAGATCGCACGAAACGGTTGTCCACTGCCGTCCCCTTCGGCACCGGTCGACGGGTCTGAGCCGTAATCACTGCACCGGCCGTACGGAGAGGGCAACAGTTGTCGCATAGTCTTTGTGACGGCCAGAGTGTGGTTAACGGCCGACAGTTCTGTTTCGCCGCTAAACAGGCGCTCGATGTCTGGCACCGGTTTGTAGTGAAGCAATACATACATCGGGTCCGCATAGATAGCTTCACTCCAGCGACGAATGACCGCAAACTGTCGGGAGTTGACCACATGTTGTCCGTCTAATTCACTCGCAATTGAAGTCCGGTTTAATATGACGCTAATTATTGTCAAGGCAAAGCCTTCAAATGTTGCGCCATATGACATAAGTCGTTTTAGTGACCGTATGTCAACGCCCGGCCACTTGTTGCCCAGCGCTATACGTGTCCGACCGCTCGAATCGATATTAGTATAGTTAAAGAGTGTCCTGTCCTTCACGTCTGGATCCTTACAATATTGATCCAGTTTTGTTCGTAAACACTGACGAGTATTGGATAGATTAAATATTGACTGATAGACGAGTGTTATATGCGGTAAGTGCGGGTTCATTGAGTTGTCCATTACGTCAAATAAAGTTACAGTTTTGAATGCAAAATAGTCGACCGACACGTCGTATAACTGATAGCCAAGTATTGTCGCCATTAGGCATAGAATTGTGTACTTAAACAAAGTATTAGAAGAATTTAATAATTTTACATGATATCTATTTCCATTAAAATAAATACCCGAATATATAGTGGTATAAATAGTGATGTCCGACCGAATCGATAGCATAGCTGTTGGCGAACAAACTGTACGATAGAAAACGCACGCAATTTGTGATTCAAATATATGATTAAATTGTTTAAAATGACAACTACTATGAATCCTTGCCATAGACTTATGACATTGATTATATTAATTACTAGATCGATAAATGTAATTTTGTGTACGTATTTTATTTGTATAAAAAAATTATCAGCAAATTTGAACGATGTAAATTCCTTTGTATAATCATGGTTAAAGTTAAATACTTCTGTTCTAATTGTTTGATATATAGTTTCCCGACAATCGGCCGGACATTTGAGTTGACAATAATTATATATACCATCTGAACGAACAGAACGTGTAAAACAATCGTTTTGAAAATGGTTCACAATATTATCGCCAATCGTTAACACAATTGTTTGCAAACTGTTTTTCAAATAACAGTGGGTTGTGTTTGGGTATTGACTGTCGTATTGCTTACGATAGCATCGCTGCAGACAATCGTATTGCGTGTCTCCGACAGACCTCTCATGACAACCACCGTCNATAGCATCGCTGCAGACAATCGTATTGCGTGTCTCCGACAGACCTCTCATGACAACCACCGTCTCGTCCGCTATCGTACGGCGCGGGCAGTCGTATCAACTCATATGATCTTATTCTGACTGAAAGTTTATTCACCTGTTCTTGAATTATAAGAAAATCTTTGTAATCAAACGAATGGTCCGTTAGTTTTGGTAATTCTTTTGGCGAATGAATAATAAAACGCTTATTTAATACATTAATCCTATTTAATAAAAAATCAATTCCTCGATTCTCTTCAAATTGAATAATAAGTGAGCCATAGATTCCTGTGTTAAGCACTGGTTGTGTCGATATATTGCCGGCCATTGATATGTCTGTGAGAAACGTCTGGCACCGACCGAACGGCGATAGTGTGACCACTTGTGGCCATAATTGTTGCGAAGGATTCACTTCAAAATTAATATATTCATTAAATAGTTTTATATCCATTATTGTTGCGTTGAATAAACCATATTGTTCATTACTGTGTTTATCAATTTGATTATATGAATTAATGTCGGATACATTGAAATATTTAAACCAATCAATTGGCAGAGAATTTTGTTTAAAATTTAATGGTTTTGACCCATTAAAATAGTAGAAAGTTAACATATTTGGATATAAAGTTTTGTTATATCCATATTCTATTCGCAAAGTTAATGGATATATTATGTTTTCTATAAAATTACGTACATTTTTATCAAACGTAATATCTTTAATTATATGTTCATAACATAAGGTAACCGATGGTAAGTAATGAAATGGTATTTTATTAGTTGAAATGTCTTTCAATTCAATCATTTCGACTGTCGTTTGTGTGGGAAATGAGAAGTAATCAAAAGTCAATGAATAGATTTGATATACAATTATAGGTATTGTTATGATTGACACAATTCTACGCCAATTATACGATTCCAGTCGTGATAGCAATCGCTTAATACGAGTGTAAAATAATTGAAAAATAATTTTAAATTTTTCGCTAATAATTGTCCCAAATATACGTTTAATGCGAGAGAATAATAATCCAATCAAAACACTGGTGTCTACGAACGCCACGCCAAACCACAGCCCAAACAGACCCCCAATATCTGACATATATTTAATAAATGGATATTTTTCATGACTTGTATAATGAAATTCTTGATACGGTTTGTAATGAATTCTGAGTACACTATCTGTGAGTCCCATAAACTCTGTTTTATCCAACTCTAAGGTGTGGTAAATCTGATGGCAATTCTTAACACAACGATTACTACAATACTTGTTATTAATGAGTGATTCACAACTATTAACAGATTTATTGCAAAATTCATACTTTGTTTGTCTCGCATTCTGAAGAATAAAATT